TAACCTTTCTTAATTTACTATCGTATAAAAACTAAACATAGAGTGGTTCTACTTTATATGTTCAACATCAAGAGTTTTTTGGATATTTGAAGAAGTGACTATAATTAAGAAATTATTAAATAATCTCAAATCTATAAGCTTAGCAGCTAATTTTAAAACTAATTATTTTATTTAATTCAAAAACTCAATTTTTGTCTTAAGTAATTTTTCTAGAATTTTTGTTCTAGAAACTTACTAAATGATTTTTATTATAAGTGATATTTTTGTATAGAAAAGCTAATAGAGAGGTTAAAACGGAAAGTTGAGACAGCTTACTAAAAAGTAGTCTTTTTAAAGGGCTCGATTAATTTGATTTGGGATTTTGCTTGATATTAAATGTTTTTAGATACAATTTGATAAGAATTTCATTACAATTTTTTAACAATTTAAATTAGTTATTTAAATCTTAGTTATAAATATGTTTATGCACAAACAAAATTATAGATATTTTCTTATCCTTTTTGTGTATCTTTCTGAAATTTAATATTTGTTAAGATATTGAATTCATTAGTTTTTTGTAGTTTTGGAATAACAATAAAAGTTATTTACACATTTTAAATTAATTAATAGCCATATTATTTATAAAGAAAATTTGAAATACAAAAATTACTCAAAATAAATTAATAGATTAAACCTTTTTGGATATATTTTTAAATCACTTGTTTTCAAGAAAAATAAATATTTGTCAACTAATAAATAAAGATATCAATTTAATTCTTAATACAAAAATAGATAATACAGTTAAACTTTGCCCATATAGATTTGGTTGATATTTTCAAGATTTCTGATAGATTAAATTTCTAATGAAAAATAATAAAGAAAACACTCGATATTTAATTATTGAATAGTAATCCAAAATTTAAAAAATGAGAATGACAACAATAAGAAATCAATTGAAATGGAATATAATTGACCGAAATTTATTCCAATAAAATAATTATTTCAATATTCTTAAAAATAATAAGTCCATTAAAATTTCATTGATTTAATTTTTTAATTCAAAAATTATGGGATAGTCCTTAAATTACTGATAATGCCCATACCTCTAACAATTATTAATTGACTAACTACTAAAGGTCATCATAGCTATACCTGCCTATCTATTTGTTGATAATTATTCCAATTATCTTTAAATCCAAAAATAAGGAAAGTTGAATTAGGAAATAATACTTAGATTCACCATTAGCCAATTTAATATTACTATAAAACATTTTAACCTATAAATTACTAAAATTAAGCAAAGTCCTACTAACTATATGAATGTTGAATATGACCTATGCTATAAATTTTTGATCTAGATTGTTAACTTATATTTGGATCTATCGTCATTAAGTATTTGAACATTCAATTATAAGTATATCTTAGTATTATATTTTTTTCCTTAAGATGAGACCCTTAAAGTTTAATAATTGGATTGATTATGAATTTTTAAGATTGAAGAGGAGAATATCCAAAACATATACTTAATTTTAGGATCCAATCTACTTAAATATCGATTATCTATCTATATTCGAAGATTAACTAAGCTGTTGTAACTATACCTTTGTTAGGGTTACAAGCACTAAAGTGAAGATTAACTTTAATTAATTAAGAGAATTGAACTTGATCCCTTTTAATATATGATGTGGAAATGTATACTGTAATCGTTAATTATATTTTAAAATTTATGGCTAATGCGATGTTCAAAAATTTTGTATAATATAAGTATCGAACGATATTAGAAATAGATGTATAATTATTTTAGTTTTCTCAAATTCAAAAAGACTCAAATTTGCTTTATTTCAAGAAAAAACTAAGGTAATTATCTCATTGATCTGAGAAAATAAATTTATATAACACATATTTTTTATTAATGCATATGTTTATCAGACTTTTTTTAAGCTCCTAGAGTAAATGCCTTAATATTATTTATAATTGTCTAAAAGCGAAAATCCTCTTTAAATTTCCTTCCAGCTTTTTCAGAGAAATTCATTAAAATATGTGAATTCCACTTAAAGTTTTTATGTTATTTTTAAATATTTGAATTTATTTAATATTGGGATTTCATTGTTGAACTGTTAGTAAATTTTGTTTTATTTTGAATAAAATGGTTGATTGTACCTATAAAAATAGAAACAATAATGAATTTAAATAATCAACAGCAAAA